ACCTTAAAGCTCATCCAGTTCCAACCCCTGCCACGGGCAGGGACACCTTCCACTAGACCAGGTTGCTCCAAGCCCCCGTGTCCAACCTGGCCTTGAACCCTGCCAGGGCTGGGGCAGCCACAGCTTCTCTGGGCACCCTGTGCCAGCGCCTCAGCACCCTCACAGGGAACAACTTCTTCCTTAGATCTAACTTGAACTTCCCCTGTTTCAGTTTGAACCCATCACCCCTTGTCCTGTCATTCCAGTCCTTGATGAAGGTCCCTCCTCAACATCCTTGTAGGCCCCCTTCAGACACTGGAGCTGCTCTGAGCTCTCCACGCAGCTTCTCTTCTCCAGGCTGAACAGCCCCAATGTTCTCAGCCTGCCTCAATATGGGAGCTGCTTCAGCCCCGGCTCAGCCTCGTGGCCTCCTCTGCACTTGCTCCAACAGCTCCATGTCCTTCTGATGCTGAGGACCCCAGAACTGCACCCACTGCTGCAAGGGGGGGTCTCACAAAGCAGAGCAGAGGGGCAGGATCCCGTTGTTTGACCTCCCTCTGACGCAGCCCCTGCCCTCTCTTGCAGTTCTGTCAGCCCAGTGGTTGGCAGCTCTTCACAGAGAGGAACCCCCCGACCTTCTTCGTGGCCGTGCTGACGGACATCAACTCGGAGCGGCACTACTGCGCCTGCTTCACCTTCTGGGAGCCCATCGAGAGCACCCAGGTACTGCGGGCGGGAAGGGACGGGGGCAGTGTCCAGCTTTGGCTTTCTCTGTGCCAGAGGAGCCCGTGCTCCAGGCTTGGGAGAGGGAAGAGCTCCTTTTCCTAACACTGGGCCTTGTCTCCATAGCCTCAGAGCCACCCCAGGAACGGTGATGGGGAGGAGGAGGAAGAGCCATCGTCTCCTGTTCAACCTGCGCAGCTCTTTGCTCCCAAAAGCTTGGTGCTGGTGTCACGGCTGGACCATGCGGAGGTCTTCAGGGTAGGTCTGCAGTGCCCTGGGGGTGGGGAGCAGCTCCCTGACTTGGTGGGGAGAGGAAAGCAACGGTGGTGAAGGGTTTCTGGCTCTGGGACCAAGCAGGAGCCACGTAGTCGCTGCTAGAGCAGGAGGTGGTCGAGCACCCTGGCACAGTGCCTATGGGAGAGCAGCCTGTTCCCAACCTGCTCCTTGCATCCTGGTCCAGCAGCTGAACCTGAACATCAACCCAAGGGCTTGGCCACATCAGGCACCTGGTGGCCTTGACCTAGTTTGTGATCAGAAAGAGCATGAGGAACAGCCTGTTCCTGCAGGAGCATCGCTCCTCGCCATGGGAATGTTCCCCAGCCCTGCTGCATTCTGTGCCTGGGGAAGGGGTGTGAGGATGGGCACAGGCTGGGCTCTGTGTGTTGTGTCTGAGCTCCATGGCTGGACAGGGGGTGGTCACCTCCCCAGACCCATCACACTGCCTGCCTCATGCTCCAAAGGAGGAATCCACCTGGATTGATGGTGGCTCATAGGAGGGCTGCGTGCTCCAGGCCAAGGTGTCTCCCTGCTTTGCCCTCCTGCTGTGCGATCCCATTGCTGGGCTCTGCCCTGTTCTGTACATCTTGTTCATGCTGGCTCTGTGAATGGAGCACAGGCTGTTCCTGTGGGACGTGCAGTGCTCAGGGCATTAATAACTGACAGAGATGAAAAATCACTCCCAGCTCTGGCTGCAGCTGCTGCAAACTGCACAAACCCCGGGCGTCACAGGCTCACAGCCCCAAAGCGCCACGTAACCGGGGTTGGAGGCACCTCTGGAGGTCCCTGGTCCAACCCATGCTTGAGCAGAGTTGTCTGGAGCAGGTTGTCCAGGGGATCATAGAACCCCAGACTGGTTTGGGTTGAAGGGACCTTAAAGTTCCTCCAGCTCCAACCCCTGCCCCGGGCAGGGACACCTTCCACTAGAGCAGGTTGCTCCAAGCCCCTGTGTGCAACCTGGCCTTGAACACTGCCAGGGCTGGGGCAGCCACAGCTTCTCTGGGCACCCTGTGCCAGCGCCTCAGCACCCTCACAGGGAAGATATTCTTCCAGTTGATTTTTGACTATCAGAGGGCTGGGCAGCGTGTGAGGAGAGGCTGAACACTGGGATTGTTCAGCCTGGAGAAAAGAAGGCTCCGAGGAAACCTTGTCCCCATGTCCCAGTATTTAAGGGTGGTTACAGACAAGATGGAGGCTCCCATTGTACAAGGAGTCCCATGTCCCAGTTCTGACTGGATATAAGAGAAAAATTGTTCCCATTGAGAACAAGCAGCCATTGGAATGATCTCCCCACGGAAGTGGTGACTCCCCAGCATTGGACACTGTTAAGATTTGGTTGGGCAGGGTGCTGGGACATCTGGTCTAGCTCATGGTTTGCCTGGAAAGGTTTTAGCAGATGACCTCTGAGGTCCCTTCTGCCTGGGATCCATGTTCCATGGTGCTGTGCTGCTCAGCTGTGCTGTGCTTCCCTCTCCAGAACAGCCTGGGGTTGATCTACACCATCTACGTGGATGGACTGAGCGTGTCCCTGGAGAACGTCATTGGGAACCTCCTGACCTGCACCATCCCCATCACCGGCGGAGCTCAGGTGGGTGCTCAGCCCCTTCCTCACCCTCTCCATACCTCTGCACCCCGAGCAGCTCTGGCAGAGGCAGGGGGGTTCCTCAGCTCTATCTGGGTGCTGTGCTGGGGGAGCTGAGCAAGGCTGACATGTGCTGGCAACCAGGAGCTGCTGAAGTGCTTGGCTGGTGCCTTCCCAAGCTCTTAAGAGTAGAAACAACAAATCTCTGTGGTTCAGAACTCCTCAGCTCCTCCATCAGCTGAGATCCTGCTGCTTTGCTGCCTTTTAGCTTGCCATGACTGGGCAGCTTGGTCCTGACTCCTTGCTCCCTCCACTTGCGTAGTCACTGATGGGTCTGTGCACACAGATGCCATGGTCCATGCTCATTCCTGCACTGAGGAGGTCCTGCTGCTCCACTCAGCCCCGTCTGACTGCCTCAGAGCTGCTCCAGAGCCAAGTGGTCACAGGCCATCTGTGAGAGCAGGGGGACAGGCCAAGCAAGGCCCCATGAGCAACTTGGAGCTCTCCTCAACCCACTGACCTGTGCCTGTGCAGGCAGCAGCTCTGATGGACAGGGCTTGAGGAGCAGCAGCTTTGCTTGTGCCCAGAGGTGATGCCATCAGAGACAACCCCCTGTTGTCCCCTCTGAGCCATGTGTCCCCCTTCCTGCTCGGGCAGGGCCAGATGGGCTCAGCCTCACTCAGCAGATGGGTGAGGAAGGGCTGGAGCTGCCTGCAGATGGTAGAGGTGGAGAGAGCCCAGCTGGGCCCTCTGGCAGGAGGTGTTTGGGGGCAGCAGCGTAATGCCCTGGGGCTCCTCTGCCATGCCAGCACCTCAGACATAGCCATGGACATGTTGTCTCCTGCGGTGGCTTCACTTTGAGCTCTGCTTCCCGCAGCAAAAAACACCATTAAATTCCCCTCACCCCACCCGTGGAGGGGCCTTCACAGGGCTGGGGCAGCACCTCAGGTCCCTGGGGATCAGAGACAGAGGTTTCTTCCCTTGGTGCAACCTGTGACCCCGAGGGAAAGCTGCTGTCTTGCACCCAGGTAACTGTGGAGGCTTCCTGGGTTGGTGCTTTCTGCTGGACAGGAGTGATGCCCCTTGAGCTGCTGTCACTGCCTGGCACAGGCTTGGGAGTCCCTCTAATAATCCAGGGTGATGGGGAGGGCACCAGTGGTCCTGGTGCTCTGTAGAATCATGGAACCTCAGCCTGGTTTGGGTTGAAGGGACCTTAAAGCTCCTCCAGCTCCAACCACTGCCGTGGGCAGGGACACCTTCCACTAGAGCAGGTTGCTCCAAGCCCCTGTGTCCAACCTGGCCTTGAACACTGCCAGGCATGGGGAAAAAATTTGTGGGCAGCCTGTGCCAGCGTATCACCAACCTCACAGTAAGGAACTTCATATATCCAAACTAATCTCCCATCTGTCAGTTTAAAGCCACTACCCTTGTCCTGCCACTACAAGCCTTTGTAACAAGCCCCTCTCCAGGTTTCTTGCAGCCCCTTTAGGCATTGGGACCTGCTCTAAGGTCTCCCTGGAGCCTTCTCCAGTTGAACAACTCCAATTCTCTCAGCCTGTCCCTATAGCAGAGCTGCTCCAACCCACTGATCATATTTGTGCCCTCCCCTGGCCCCGCTCCAGCAGCTCCACGTCCCCCTTGTGCTGTTCCCCAGAGCTGGACTCTGGTCCAGGTGTTGCAGGAGAGGGATGGGTGCTGGCCATAGCCAAGCCTCTGCTGAAGGAGCAGGGTGCTGCCCGCCCCAGGCTGTGTGCCAGGCGCCCTGGCTCTGTGCTGTGGTGTTCCTGCTGGATCTGCCCAGATCTGTCTGACTCCGTCTGGTTCCTCCCAGTGCAACAAGTGAGCAGCAACACAGGAGGGCACCACGGCGGCTCTGGAGCCACTGTGCCTCGCTGTGTGGCACTTCTTGACGCAGTTACTGGTCACCTGGTTCCTGTAGGTCTCTCTCTGCTGTGGGAACAAGCTCATGGGGCACTTCCCTGTTCTCCTGCTGTGTCCCAGTGCTCCATCCCTCTGTGGTCCCTGTTGCCTTTGCTCCATGTGTGTGTTTGTGCATCTCCCCGCTCCGGGAGCGTTCCCAGCTCGCTGTCAGCCCTGCCCATGTCCTCCCTCCCTCCCTCCCTCCCCTCTCTCTCTGTGCTGTCTCTAACTGACTGTGCCATCTCTGTCTCTGTCTCAGCCTGACGTGGAGGACGAAGCAGCGGTACGCACACCTTTTCCTTCCTGGGGCCTGTCTCCTCCTTAACAACCTCTGTAACTGTCTGTGAGGGTGACACACGCTGTGGCCGGGGCAGAGCTGGAGCCCTGGGCACTGCTGGTGCCTCGGGGTGCGTGTCTGTGTGTGCTGCACTGGTGCAGCACTGGTGCGACTGGGCTCTGGGGGGTTCAGTCCTGCACTGCAGCAGCCACCCTGTGAGCTGGGGTGGTGAAAACACCCTGAACTGTGCTGGAGGATGAGGTCAGGGGTGTTTGATCGGCTCTGCCAGGACTGCAGTGTTCTGAATCATGGAATCATGGAGTGGCTTGGGTTGGAAGGGACCTTAAAGATCCAGCTCCACGGACAGGGACACCTTCCACTAGAGCAGGTTTCTCCAAGCCCCGTCCAGCCTGGCCCTGAGCACTTCTGGAGATGTGGAAAGCAGATCTGTGGCTGTTGCAGCAGGCTGTGTGGTGAAAGCTGCTGTTGCAGGCATGTTTTCCCTGGAGAGGTGTAGAAAGAGGAGGAGAGGGCAGTGAGCTGCAGCCTGGGACACGTGTAGGCTGCCCCGTGCCACTGGGAATGAGCTGAGGTCTGGGTAAAAAGTTGTACTGGGGGAGAAGCAATGAGAGTGTGTCCAGTGTGTCTGTCCCCAGCCCAGGAGCCACCAGCACCCTGTCTGGTGGGAGAGGCTCGTACTGCTCCTGTGTCTGGCAGTGCTGGTGGGACATGGCACAGGCAAGCTCTTCCCTTCTGCTTATCCCAGGATCACAGAGTGGTTTGCATGGGAAGGGACCTTAAAGCTCCTCCAGCTCCACCCCCTGCCCCGGGCAGGGACACCTTCCACTAGAGCAGGTCGCTCCAAGCCCTATTGGAAGTGCTTGTGTGCTTGTCACAGTGCAGCTCTCAGGGCTCGCTGCTGTTGAGCTGTTGCTTGTGCTGTCCAGGACCAGCGGCTGTTTCGGGAGGTCTCATTCCTCCCCATAGCCCGTGTCCCCAGTGAAACAACGCGTGGTGTTCAGGGTCCTGTTCCCTCTTCCTGCCCGAGCCGTGGTGCCACAGGGAATGTGCTGCCCCCCGTGAGGGTGGTGACGAGGGCACAGTGGCCCCGGCCCTGCTCTCGGGGGCGCTCAG